GTGTGTGTGTGTGTGTGTGTGTGTGTGTGTGTGTGTGTGTGGACAGATGAGACAGACCTGTCCTGCCTCGTCACAGGCTGCTTTCCTCCGGCTCCTTGTGTTCTGCAGAGGTCCTGCTCGTGCTCCAGCTGTGACAGATAAAGCCCAACACATGGGGGGGACCTGGCCCGGCTGTGTGTGTGTGTTGGGGGGTGGAGGGGGGTGCACCAGATGAGTGTGTGTCTCTGGGACTCCGTCTCTTTAGCAGCTTCCAGATCAGCTGAAAGTCTTGGAGCTGCTGAAGAAGTGGAGGTCACGTTCTGACCTGATCAAAGCTTTTATCAGCAGAGACTGAGCAGGAGGGACGAGGTGTCCCTGTGTGTGTGTGTGCGTGTGCGTGTGCGTGTGTGTGTGTGTGTGTGTGTGTGTGTGTGTGTGTGTGCAGATTAAATGCAGCTCTGCAGCCTGTAGTCCCTCCTCCCCTGCAGCTCTCTCTATATATACACTAACAGAGCAGCAGACAGACTTCACTCCACTCAGGCTGCTCCTCTGATCAGTCACTCAGAGTGTGTGTCTGTGTGTGTCTGTGTGTGTCTGTGTGTGTTTGTGTGTGTTTGTGTGTGTCTGTGTGTGTCTGTGTGTGTCTGTGTGTGTGTTCAGCAGGGGGACCCTGACTTAAACAGCAACACTTTCCTGCAGCAGACAGACACGTCTCTCCTCCTGATGGACGACTACGCTCTTCCCTTCTGGGTCCACCTGGCGGTGGTGACCGTGCTCGTTGGGGGGGCCGTGAAGAAGGTGCTGGCGTCCCACCTGAGCGCCGGACCCACCTTGGTGGCCTGGCTGGGGGCCACGGTCCTGGTGGAGCGGCTGTGGGCGTTCTGCCTGCCGGCCCTGCTCCTGCTGGTGCTGCTGGGCCTCGCGTACCGCCTCTGCTGGCGGTCCAGGACCGGCCCGCCCACCGCCATCCTGCCCGCCGAGGGCAAGGCCGTGCTGATCACAGGTAAGGCTGAGGCTCCGCCCTCTTTCTGTCCATCAGGTGTGCAGAGAGTGCCAGCTTGATCTGTTTGATGAACTTCTGGGTCCCTGCAGAAAGTTTGTGGACCTGTTCAGGGATTCTGTCTGTTGTGTCGTTTGTAAAGTTACACAGTTAAAAATTACCACCAATGTTTTTGTTTTATTTAGACTTTTATAAGAAAAAAGAACAAATTTATTTTTCAAAGTCAGTTTTTCACCACATGATTAAATGTCATAGTTTATAAACTAAATATTTAACTTATAAATTAAATATTTAGTTTGAAACTTAAATATTTAGCTTGTTAACATTTAATTTGTAAGTGTGTAACTTTACAAACGGCACCCCATAATTCTGCTCAGTGTGTGTGTGTTTGTGGGGGAGTTGAAAGTGTGTGTGTGTGTGTGTGTGGGGGGGGGGCGGGGTCTTTGAGAAGGTACAGACAGAAGTTTTGTAATGTTTTGTTTAAACGACCACAAAAAGGGTCAGAAGAGGCGATCTGACCCCATGCTGCACAAAGTGTGTGTTGCTTTTCTGTTGGTGTGTTACAATAATAAACAATCTGAACAATAGACACCTGAAGTGTGTGAGTATTGTGTGTRTTGTGTGTGTTGAGTTGTGGGATTCCCCTCCACAGTTAAAGTCGGAGAGGTGGGGGACAGCTGCAGAGGGGCTGTTTGTCTCACTTCCCACAATCTGAGCAGCAAAGAAACACGCCTGATAAGAGCTGATTGGTTTATGTTTGTAGGTGTGTGTGTGTTTGTGTGTAGATGTGTGTGTGGGTGTGTGCTCTCACTGCTGGGGGAGGTATAGGGTCAGTGGTCTCAGGACTCTTTGTGTTGCAGTTAACAAGATAATCAGATCTGCAGATTCTCGGGACGTGTAACAACACTGAGCACGTTCTGCACGGTGGAAACTTTTAGCTTCCTGCAGGAACATACCAGCCGTCACCATGGCAATAAACAGACTCTCAGCTGCTGTGTTGGGTTACCTGCTGCGTCAGCCGCTCAAATAAACAGCTCTACCTAAAGAAAATAAGAGATAAATCTCGAGCTGTCATCACGTTGTTGCAAAATCCTCAAATTGCTTTTCCCCAGAAAGTGATCCTTTTGTTTATTTATTTTCTCCTTTTCCTTGAACCCTGAACTTGCCTCCAATCACGGCGCAGTGTTTGGTATGCAGCTGAATCCAGGAAAGGTAACATCAGTCGTCGCTCCGACCGCCATCTGTCAAATAAAAGCAGCAAAGCGCCTGGAGATAAACGGCGGCTCGCAGTAAACTCAGTCTGTCCTCGTGTGAAACAGGTGAAGACATCGAGGTGACGTGATTAACCTCTTTAGCAATCAGACGACTCAATCAGACACACACACACACATCCTTGTATTTGCATCAAACTGAGGACTTTGCATTGATTTCCATTCATTTTTGTAACTGTATTTATGCCTAACCCAGACATTTTCCCTAAAGTAAACCATCACTGGTCTGTAGTTAACTCTAACCTGAACCAGAACTTAACTCACACCATACCTCTAAACCTAGCTGTGTCTGCTTACGTAGCAGGATGGTAATATTTAGAACTCCCTGTCTCAGCAAACAGTAAACATTTGTAATCCATATTAAAAATTTTCATGTATTGATTTATTTTACTTTACAATCTGAGCTCTTTTTTAAAAAAAATTTAAAAATAAGTTTAAACGCTGGAGCTCAATACTTGACATAATTGGTCGAAGCACCGGGGTTAAAGA